TGTGAAACAGAGAAAATCAGGGATTTAATCATGGATCTTCAATTAAAGGATGTTTCTGATGCATTTTATGAATGTTTACAGAGTGAACAACGGTTTCCATCATCACTGAGACATGTAGAGGCACTAGATTACTGATACGTCTACATTTGTAAAGTTTTCTCTGGTGAATGATCAGAGAAACAGAAGAAGGTTGTTATGTAGAGCTTTTTGTCCATTATACTAGACGCTATGTTTGACAGAGACACAAAACATCATCACAAACACACCATCCTCACCATGAAGCACGGTGGTGGCAGCATCATGATGTTTTTTGTGACACCTGGAAGGATGTAAAACTGATCTGGTTGGTCATTTTGTATTTTGTTTTTCTTGTTTTGTTTCTATTTTTTGTTGTTTTGTGCTCCACTTTGTCATTTCTTTCCCTTTTGTCATTTTGCATCTGTTTTGAGTCTTTGGGACAGTTTGTTTCTTGTTGTGGTCATTCTTTTTGTTGTTTTTGCTGCTTTGCATCTCTTTTCCTGTTTCGTGCCTCATTTTTCTTGTTTTGTGTCTTGTTTTATTCCTTTAGTGTGACGTTTTGTTTGTTTTACATGTTTTTGGGGCAGTTTTGTCTCTTTCTGACATGAAACTATGACACATCCCATAATCCTGATGCTCAGAATTGGTTGTGGAAAAAATGATCCAAAACCCAGTTTATTCTTTAAACTGAGACACCTGGATGGATGTAGAACTGATCTGGTGTCAGTTTCTACCAGAACTCAGATGTGTTCCTCCTCCTAAATGTCATGTGTCTATCTGCTGTACTGATGAAGTTCTGAGGCTCAGAAATGATGGAAGAAGTCCATTAAAGTGATAAATGTGGACCCTCCTCTGTGTACTTGAAGGACCTGGACCTCTGGAACATTCACAGTATGAAGGTAGAACTCTGGTCATTAGATAAAGTTACTGGAGATAAACAACCAGATGTTCTAAGGAGGTTAGATTTGATTGAATATAAATGAAATAACCCATAAAGTAGTTCCGCTAAAAGATTTTTAAAAAATTGTGAAAATTCCCGTTTTTTTGTTTTTGTTTTTTTTTTAAATAATAAATCCCCTTGAAATCTTTAGAAATTCTAAGAACAATAAATGTATTAAAGCAAATGTGTCCATCATGTGTCCATTGTGTTTTGACTTTGAAAGACGTTGTCTCTTCTTCTACGGCGATTTAACGGCACCGTGAGGAGAATCAGCGCCGCCTGCTGTTAATGTGATGAACTCCGATTCAATGAAGCAGCAGAAACAGGCTCGTGTTCTGCTTTAGTTAAAATTCAGTTCAGACTAAAGTACAGAAGGATGGAGGACGGCTGTTTGCTCAGCGGCGCCTTTTGTGTTCAGTTTGGACCAATCAGCTGAGAGACGACGAGGTGGACAAACACAGGACTGCTGACCTCTGATCTGCTCGCGTCCTCCTCTGACTCATTTTTAGACGAAGTTCTGATGCTTTTCTTTGCTTCTACGCCTGAGAAGTAACTGAAATAATCTTTACTTTATGCAAGGAGCTTCTCATCAAGATAAAAAATCCAAGAGGTGACTATTGAACCAAACAATAAAGACAGAGACCGTCTGCGACGCGATCAGAAGGAATCAGAGAGTTTAGGTTCAGTCCGATGCATCGAGGTCTTTAATCTGTATGTGCAGATTACTCTGATTCCAAAATGGGCGGCGCACATGTGATCAGAGAGGAATATTAATAAACCTGCAGAACAGCAAACAACATGTAAATAAATGGAAGATAAAGAGGCAGATTAAAGCATCAGAGAGGTTCTGAGCAGGTTCTGGTGTTCTGAGTCCAGCTCAGCGTTCAGCAGCTGCAGCAGAATAAAGATGAACAGAGTCCACGCTGACCAAACTGTGTCTCTCCATAAATCATCAGGATTGATGCCGAACGCCTGCAGAGACGCCGGGGGAGATGGGGGACGGCGAGGGGGGGAGGCTGGGTTTTGGTTTGATTTCAGTGTTTTTTTGGAGGAAACAAAAACTCCCGTCTGCTGTTATTTCTCTTTGCCGCTCAGAGATTTGTTTCGATTTTGCTCCATAAGACGCTTTTATCTGTGTGTTTACAGCTTTATTTGTGTCTCTGTGAGGACAGCTGCAGTCAGGACGTTTAGTCTTCAGGCTGCAAGTCAGAACCGGGTCACGTTCAGGGTCAGAAAGAGGAACTGAAAAAACATCAGCTGGTCAAAGTGTCGCCAGTAATCAGCCGACAGAACCCATCAGAACTGATTATTTCTGTGTTTGAACGATGAAAACGAAACTGATCAGGATCAGACTGTCAAAAACCACAAAACTCTGACTGGACCTTGGTTGCGATTCAGTAACTCTCCTGTTTAAAGACTCACTGTGTTACATGTTTCCAGGGTTCTGGTTCTGAGTGGTGGTACCAAAGTGTTGCTCAAGAAATCTACAATTTCTCTGCTGTGAAGGTTTTTAGAAACGTAAACGGAAAGTTTCCTGTCAGGTCCCTGTTGGTTCTGATCAAAACTCATCTCTCCTGGTCTCCACAGGTCCCCGCTGATGCCTGGGTACTGTTCTGACTCTCTGGTTCTAATGTTACTTGTTCTTTCTGGGTCTCTGGTTTGGGCCTGGGTCCCTGGTTGTGCTCTTGGTGTCTGGGACTAGCCCATATTCTGCTCTGGTTGTAGTTGTCTGTATCTGTGGATCTGGTTCTGTTCTAATTTTTGGTGTCTGCTCTGAGTGTCTGGTTCTGGTCTGGGTCTCCTTTTCTAGACTGGGTCACTTGATCTAGGCTCTGGTTCTTGTCTGGGTCATTGGTTCTCTTCTTGGCCTCTGTGGTTTCTTTGGGTCTCTGGGTGTGGTCCTGGTCTGGGTCTCTTGTTTTTGTCTGAGTTTGTGGTCCTGGTTTGCCTCTCTAGTTCTGTTCTGGATCTAATTCTGTTCCGTGGCTGCTCTTGGTCTCTGGGTCTGGTTCTGCTCTGGGTCTTCTTGGTCTCTGGTACCAGTCTGCACCTCTGGGTCTGGGTCTCTGGTCCTGGTCTGTTTCTGTGGGTCTTTATTTGGTTCTCATGTTGGCCTCTGGTTCTAGTCTCAGTCTCTTATTTCAGCTGTTGTCTAAGTCCTGGTATTGGTCTTTGTGTTTGGTTCTTTTTCTGGGTCTCTTGTTTTTGTCTGGGTCTCTGGTCCTGGTCTGTTTCTGTGGGTCTTTCTTTGGTTCGCTTGGTGGCCTTTGGTCCTGTTGTGGCTCCCTAGTTCTGGTCTGAGTTGTTTGCTGGAGGATCAGTTGACCGCAGCAGGTTGACAGATGTGGATCAGGTGGTTTTATTGTGTCAAACATATGTTTTTGATTGAAGGTGGATCTGCAGCAGGTTGGATCAGGACGACCATTGACATCTGACCTCTGACCTTTGACCTTTGACCTCTAGTCAGGTCAAACACTCGTCTTTCTTTTTGTGTTTGTCGCTGCTCAGTTTCTTATCGGTGACTCTGGTTCAATCTGATGCCGGTAGAGCGTAGACTGCGGTGGGTTGTTCTTCCGTCTGGAGTCCAGTTCTCGCTGCTTCTGTTTTCATTTCACTCATGTGACCGTTTTCTGTGAATTTAAAGGAGAAATTCAAACAGGGGAGTAGTTTACCGAAGAGGACAACGTCTGAGTTTATGTGGAGGTAAACGTTATCCTGTCCGTCTGCTCTGTTTGCCTTTAATTAGCCTGAATCCCCCCTCAGTGCCTATCAATATCCCAGCTGATCGATTACCTATCAGCTCAGATCTCAGGCTTCTGATCAGTTTCCATCCACAGGGTCTCTGCTGTTCCTGCACAGTTACTGAAAGTCTTAAATCCGCTTTTCTAAAAGTCTAAAATTCATTTGCTTAAAAAGCTTCAATTCAGTTTCTAAAATCTGTTTCTGTAAGTTTTAAATTCAGTTTCCACAAGGACAAAAAATCGTGTCTGTAAGTCTTATAATCACTTTGAACGATTTAAATTGATTGTGAAAGTCTTTACAAATTCGGTTTCTGAAAGTCTTAAATTAAGTTTTCCAAAGTCAAAATATTAGTTTTGAAAGGTTTTATGTATGTATTTATGTATTTATTAGCTTTTGTTGTTGTTTGTGTTTTTAAATAATCTATTTTTATGTTTTGTTTTTCTTTTCTTTTCCACCTTCAACAGGAGGAAAAGCTTCTTTATTTTTTTCCTTTTTGTTTTTTTATTATTCAAACGCAGATAAATAAAAATGTGGCTTGTGTTTTATGTCCGAATGCGTCATCTGTCCTCCATAGACCGTCCCTCATACTTCTCAGCATGCATTGTGAGACTTCAGGCTTTAAACTCAGACAGTTATCAGTTGGATTGAAACTCCAAAGTAAAAACAAGAAGTAATAAACTTCTTTGCTGTCTTCCTCTCTCAGCTCTCAGGACCTCGCCCCTCCCTCACAGCCCTCATCGCAAGATGACAGAGCCCCGCCCCCTACCCAGGTGGAGTCGCAGCAGACCCCGCCCCCTCAGTCCCCGCCCCCTCAGTCCCTGCTGATCCAACTGCAGCAAATGTCCAAGGAGAAGCAGAGCGTGGAGGCGGAGCTTCAGCGGTGCCAGCAGGCGGAGCGGGAGGCCAGCGAGAGAGTCCGCAGGTGAGTCTGATGTTATGTGTTTACTCCACGACATCATCATTCACCTGACGACCAATCAGAGGCCAGATCAGCTGATTGGCTGCTGTTTCTCTTGTGAAGTAAAGTAAGGGAGGAATAAATACAAATTAAAGTTGCTCTAAGAACAAACAGTTGAAGAAAATCTGATTCTAAAATCGGGTTTTTTGCATTCAGGTTCATTCAAAATTAACATGTCAGAGATACGATCAGAGGTCGACCACATACATGTTTAAAAGTCATCTTTAGCCATTTAAAAACCTCTGAGACCTGCAGTTAATCAGTGAAAGGAAGATTGTATTTTTGTTACCTTGTCTTTAAAGAGTACAACAACAGGAGGGAGTCGTCTGCATAGAGACGCATCCAACCCACAACCCACTTCACACCTGTGTCAACCTATATGAAAATCTGTAAAGTCTAAAGTCAGGACCTATAAACAGCAGCAGATTGTAGCAGATGTTGTGTTGTTCAATCATACTGTTAAAAATACAAAGAACACGCACACTGCACAGTCTGTGATTGACACCGAGGAGGCAGCGTCTGGTGTGTGTGATGCATATTTTTAAGTCCAAACTGCAGCAAATGAATAATAATAAGAATAATAACAATAATAATTAAAGTATCCAATGTATATGTTTGACCACTTTATAGCTCTGCAATAATTTAAGGAGAAAAAAGAAAGTATTTCTGCATTCAGACTGTTCCTTAATGTTCTGTAGGTGTTCAAGAACCTTGTTGTAAAGCTCCAGTAGGACACTGTCTAAATGTAGTGTTTGAGTTTAGGATGCACTGGGGCTCCAACAGATGGAGAAAACCTGTGTTCTCTACATGATGTCAGAAAATGTACCATAGACCAGCTGTAGTACCTGCTTGTTCCACCAGGTGGAGCCTCTTACTGTTTAATACTGTAGAGATCAGAGGAGACGTCACTCAGACTACAGTTCATGTTGGCAGCAGAGAACATTGCGGGAGTTTAGCTAGCAACTTCTGCAACTTCTAGACTTCCGTGAAGGTGAATGACCTCCAACCAGAGCTCATGTGTTTCAGACAAACAGTAACCAACCAGGATAATGTTTCTACAGTGGCAGATGTAACAAAGCCTTCCTTCAGCCCGAATCAGGTGTCTGTTGACAAAAATATCACATAAACATTCTCTCTGTTCACTTTATCTCATCAATGAATTGATAATTGATTGATAATACTGCCAAATATTAGTTAAGGAAATTGTTCAACCTAAAGGGTTGCAATCGGTTTCTTGTAGAGATGTCCCAAACTGAATCCTAAAATCAGAATTAGGGATGATCACAGAGAGAATAAAGTCATCAGTGTCACCACAAACCTGTAACCAATACTTAGATGTAAACAGAAGCTTCAATAACAAGTAAGGTGTTCCACTGGGGCACCGGACGGTTGTTCTAGTTTATCACAGCTTAAATTAATGCTTGTTCGCTGACCTGTGTACAATAAGCCTCTAATGCTGTCTTCACACCAGACACCAAATCATCACAATATTCACGCGTATTTGGACGCGCGTATGCACTGAGTTTAATGGCTTCATTCGTGCAAATAAACTCGCTCCATTCGCTCATCAAACATCACATCATTCACACGTCCACCAGGAATTTCTGCCCATTTCCTGCCATTTTCCAGTGTGCTATCATCAAACATGGTTGTGCTCGACAACACTGGTGCTTTGTATCTGCTGTGGAAGGCCCAGAAACGGCAGAGATCCAGGCACCACCGATCCTCCAGAGATGCACACAGCTCAGGGAATTCCACCACCTTCTCCAGGAGCTGCGTCTGGATGACGTCCGCTTCCAGTGCTATTTTCAGCTGACCCGAACCCAGTTTGACAACCTGTTTTAACAACCCAGAGCGGATCGGTACCAGGATATCCCTCCAGGATACCAGAATACGTCACCAGAGGATCTCAACGCTGATTGGCCTCGGTGGCGTGAATGCTTGCTTGAGTTCAGATTTTTCAACTTGCGCGAATGAAGCGTCCAACTCAAATTCACGTCATTCGTGCATTTAACGCAGCGAGATTTGTGTCATTTGCGCAAATAACTCATAAAAATTTGCGTCATTCGTGCTGCAGGGTGTGTGCTCGCGTCTAATCGCGTCTTCACATTGACTTTACATGTAAATCATTGGTGCGAATGATTTTACTCGCGCCTGGTGTGAACACAGCATGATTTCTGCCACAGTGCTCCTTTACTAGCTAAAGTCCCACAATGCTCTGTGTTCATTATCAGTGAAAATTATATCGGGCAGTTACGAAATATTAAATTACGAGTGGATCGGATTGGGAACACCAAACAAAAACCTGACTGGGACATTCGTGGCTGGCTTCTCACCAGAAAAAAAACATTTTCACTGTTTTCTGTGAATTTTGAAAACAACTGGTTGATTCAGAGAAAATGAGAAAAACCATGAGAATTTATTCCACTTTTAACTGTGTGTTTGAAATATCTGTGGACGGTCTGACCTCCTCAGACCCCTGCCGACTGTTCAGTTAAAGGCTTTCAGGGGGAAACGTCACTGTGCGGTTAAACAAGCGCTCTCCTGCCATCGGAAACATGTTGCAGAGTCTAACAGCAGCCATCAGACTCTCTGCGAGGCGTTCAAAGGCCGGTTAAGCGTGTGGGACTAAGAAGATTTGGTGGTGATGATTCATATTCAGCGGGCATCGGAGTGAGTGTCTCTGCCGCCGAGTTGATCAGGAAGAATTAATCCATCAGATTTCGACTCACACAGGATGACGGTCTGATGCTGAATAACGTGACTTCTTCTTCTGCTGCTTCTCATCTCATCAGCCTGAAGATGAAGGGATGAGATTCATGATGAAAACAGCTTAAGTCGTCCGTCTGCGTCCCGCGCCGTCCTCCTGGGCTCAAACCCGCGGCTTTCTGCTCTAATTTGGCTGCCAGTGGGGGGGCAGCCGACTCTGAAGAGCCTCCCAAGTTTCTGAATAGTGGAGAGAGGAATATTTGCTCTCCGAGGGGGGGTGGTGATAAAAATCTGCTGGTTATTAGAGACGGGAAGTTTAATTTGATTTGGAGAGAGAGAGGAAGAGGCAGAGAGAGCCTCACCGAGTGTTAGAAAGTCATCCAGGGTCAGTTTTCCAACTCCTCATTCATTTCAGCTTCCCCTCACTTTACTTTTTCTCTGTCTGCACTCAGCCTGATAATTTTCTCCTGAGAGTCAGAAACTCATCTCCAACCGGTTTGCAGTCGCAATGATCAAGGCACGTCCGTCAAAACCTGGTGACTGCAGGGAAATACTGCAGCTGGAAACTCAATTCAGCAGCTGGAAACACGTCACTGCAAATCTAAACTCAACTCAAAAGCTGGAAAGATGAATCTGCAGTTGGAAACATGTCACTGCGGCTTGAAACTTCACTTTGCAGTTTTAAGCTTGACTCTGCAGCTGGAAAGATGAATCTGCAGTCGGAGATGCATCACTGTAACCAGAGAATGATTCTGCAGCTTCAATTTCGATTTTGCAGCGAGAAACTGGAATCTGCAGCTGGAAACACATCCCCCCAGCCAGAAACACATCACTGCAGCATTAAACTCGACTCTGCAGCTTGTCACTGCTTGAAAATGAGTTCCTGTGATTTCATGCTTTGTCACTGTGACTAAAAGTGCAAATGCAAACCTGTCAGGACTTTAAATGTCGTACCTGCAGGTCAGAACAGGTCAGATGGTTACTTGAATGTGACTCTTCAGTAGAAACCTGGTTGTTGTCGGAGGAGAAGTCTGAATGTCAGAAATGCAACAAACTCTCTGCAACTTGATTTTTTCTACATCTTCTAGCAATGTAGGTAGAATAGCTGAAACTGACTCACTGAGACCAGATAAGACTGGCTGAGACCAGCTAAGACCAGATAACACCATATGAGACCAGATAAGACTGACTGAGACCAGATAAGACCGACTGAGACCAGATAAGACTGACTGAGACCAACT